ATGTACATGCGGAAAGTAAAGCATGACTCTTAAAATCCTCTGGCTTCTCACCAGTAAAACAACTGGCTTGATTTCATATGAAATAGCTTTCTTTTCTCAAATGGGGTATCACAGAGGATTGAAATTCAAAGCATCACAGAAAGGCTTTCAGACGCTGACAGTCTTGCCAGAAACCCAAAAGCATAAAACCATGGGGTGCTGATTTACCACTTCAAATGGTTTTGGATGCTTTTGATTAGAAACTTCCCTGTGAGTTATAGTCTTTTTTTTTGGCAAAGGCTTGACTTCGCTGTCCTGTCTCTGTAGTCTCTGATGACCTTAAGGTGCTGCTGAGAAGGAAGTGGGTTTTAGCCCACATGTCCTGTTTTGTCTTTGTACTCTACTTATTGCCCGAGTTCCTGAGTATTTCCAGAAGTAGATTAAGCACACTAACATCTGTACAATAACATCTGTTGTGCCTTTTTTGTCTCTTCCCCAGGGGGGATATGTGACAGAGTGGGTTGTTTTATTTTAAATGGACATTTAAAATAACGAAAAAGCACATTACAAAAAAACACCCTGAGACAAGTAATCTCTGAGAGCTCAACAAAAGCACATGGTACATGTACAYATATAAGGTAGAGAGGAAGGTGCTGTACATTTCAAACAGAAGGCACGAAGGTGGGGTTTGGCCCTCCTCCCAGTGTGAGTTTGTTCAGCAAACCATTCCGGGGAAGGTGCCTCACCCTGAGCCGATGAGCTGCACTTCTCTGTAGAAAGTTTCTCTGAGCTAAAGGGTCAAAGCTGCTGACTTGAGCTTCAGTCTGGCGCTGCCATTAGGCTCGTGGGCTCAATGCCTTGTGCTTCCCACTGATGTTTTTCATCCAGCTCAKGGGGTGCAGTTCCCAGCAGCAGTGCCTTGGGTGGTGGCTCCTGTCTTCCATCAGGGCCGTCTGCCTCTCAAGCCATCTGCTGTATGTGTTTTTATTTTCCCCAAATGCTTTATGAGACTCAAAAGTGTGCAGGAAGATAGGAGGTTTTCTTAATTGAACAGTGTTCACAAAGGTTTTTGTATGTGCAGCTGAAATTTTGTTGCTCACTTTGCCATCCTGCCTGCCTCAGCTGACAAGAGTTTCCCTTAAAAACTTATTCATAATTTATGACTTTCAGTGCTGCTTTTTCTAATTTTATCCTTCCTTTTATTAGTATGAGAATGGCTGTTCTTGTGTCAGTAGATCATACTTTCATSTGTAAAACATTTCTGTTGCTGATGATGACTGTGTTATTATTTTTTACCAAACTTGCTGGACAGTCCTGTTTGCAGAAGCTTAGGACTTTGGGCTGAGTAACTGGTTTGCATTAATTCTAGAATAGTTAATTTTAGAAGGGAACTTCACACATCATCTCATCGAACCACCAATTCCAAGCAGGGCCAATTTCCAAATTTTGTTGGACTGCTCAGGCACCTGTACTTACTGCTGGCATCCTGGCCACGATTGTAATTATGAACATTTTAACTGGAAAAAACACATATATGTTAGTGTACCAATATCATTGTTTTAACCAGCAGTTAAGATATTTTAAATGTGTACTAGACGGATTTTTTTTTTCTTTTTGTTGTTGTGGTCTGTTCTAACCAAGTCTGGTTGTAAAAGTCCTTGCTTTTATCTTACTCCTTTTGCATAAGCATGGGGAAAATACTTTTCTGGTTCACCCTCTTAATGATATCTGACTTAAGGAAAAAAGCTACAGAAATATCTGGTTAATTTGAGTTGTACAGTGTGCTTCACACAGTTGCTGGGGTTTATTGCCTGTTTGCATACCTGTTCTGTAAAGAAAGGTTAAATAAAGTTTTGCATAAGACCCAACAGCTCCCGTGCAGAGCCCTGTGTTCCTGCAGTGCACTTTGGCTACACGACAGCTCCATCTGCTGTTCCTTATCTGTAGCTTTTCCTTAATGTCCAAACTTTTCACCRTTTTATATTGATTCTTGGGCTTCTTCCCTCTGGCTTGACACAACTTTTCACACAGTTGTTACGCTTCTGAGAAAATACTCCTTGGGATACCTCCACACTGTGTTTTGATGTTCTGGATTTAGAATTTCTTTGAATTTCTTGGCGATAAACCTCATTTGTTACACTTCCTTCTCTGACTGCTTTACAAGCATTAGGTTTTGGATTTTTTTTTTTGCTTGTGTTGTATGTCTTGCCCTTGCAAAGACAAGCTACTCCAAGGTATGAAGCCCCATCATCCAGCAACAAAGGAATTTCAGCTCTTCAGTTCAGTAATAGATATTTGTGGGTGGTTTTTGGTTTTTTTTTTTGGGTTTTTTTTTGGTTTTTTTTGGACTTGTGTCCATGCTGCCTGGGATCTTGCACATATCTGTGGTTGGATRTGCTATGAATATGATGAACAGAGGTAATTTAGCTGTTGTAGGACTATCAAATTTTTACAGATTGAGGGAAAAATAGGAAAGAATAACATGGCTGATGGCGGGGGGGGAGTGTGCAGCATGAATAAAGATAGAGAATCATGATACTTTGATCAACGTGATTACTAAAACCACCAAAGAGAACTTAAAATCCTGTATTTTTCTCCCTCTTGATATCAAGAGTCTGACTCACTAGAACATTGGGATTTTTGGAGTCTGCTTTGGGTAAGATTTGCAGATCACATCAGAGTAAACCATTGTGAATCACATCGCTAAAGAAAACTACTAGCCAAAATATGGGAAATATATGTATATTGGAGTATCACTATCCTAGTTTTCTAGCTCTTGTGGAATAGGAACAGTAAGATGGGMTTTAGAATCTGTTCTGCACAATACCCCATTGGATAAACTCAGCCTAGCCT